AATAATGATTTTATCGAAAACTTGTTATTTCTGTAGCTTTTTTCTTATCGTTCTAGTCAGATAAACATGTTCAAATCTTTGTCTCACCATCATTTCAAGGATAGAACATTTATCAGAGACATGTAACAATAACATCACATCGTTTTTATTGTTGATTGGCGACTACTTGATAACGTGTATGTCCTTCAAGTGATGCAATGCGTAAAACTTGATTAAGAATACACTGTGCCATGTTAACTGATGATTATCAAGCGATTGAAATGTATATTGATAATGAATATTTATCATATTTTTTTGGGGGAATTTTCAATTCTTCTGGACAGCATGGAAATATTATTTAAAATCTGACAACAGTCATAAATTCGTGTCTTTAATAATGTTCCATGAACTCTTTCAAATATTGATTCATTATTATATTCTACTTTTGATACATCATCATTCTTATTTGTTGAACTTGATGTTGTATTACCTATACGTTATTAACAAACATCTGAGCGATTAGTTTTTTCAAAAAAACAATGAATATTAGTTGCTGTGCGTTTTTAATTATATACTACATATTCTTGTTAGAATCATCTCGATTATACAACTTTGTAAAAAACTTTAGCTTATTGATAGCATTTCGTTTTAACATTGACCATGTGAATCGCCAACACCAACTTTGACGACCATCTTCATTTGGATTTGATGCTTAAATAGAAGCGACATAATTCAATTACTATGTACTGATCGTTAATCTAAATTTCTTATACTTTCAATAACAAAGAATATACTTACACGAAGCTGGATTATTCATTCTTGTTGAATCATCTAGACCTAATAAATCTTGAAATTGAATAGTAATCGTATTGGCAGCACTTGCCAAAACCATCTCGATGGCATACCAATGAATACATTTATTCAGATAGGCTATTTTAATAATTTGATATGCTTCTTCATCATCATTGTCATCTTCTGCTTGTTCTTCAGATGCTCGAATATAAGTAACAAATGTTTTCTTTTCATTATCGGAAGCATGTTTAGCCCACCAGCCAAGTACCGTTGGATGATCATGAGTACCTGTATAAGCAACACAATTTCTTAGGGTGTGGGTGTGGGTGTGGGTGGGTGTGGGTGTGGGTGTGGGTGTGGGTGGGTGTGGGGGGGGGCGTGGGTGTGTGGGTGTGGGTGTGGGGGTGTGGGTGTGGGTG